TCTCTCTCCCCCCACTCTTCTGAAACCGCTTTCATTATCGCTACAATTTTGGATGTGTCAATTCAAATGTAAATGTGCGAGAATGCTTCCAAGAGCCAAAAAAAAAAAAAAAAATGCTTCACACCATCCAGGAGGGAAAAAAAAAAAAAAAAAAAAAAGAAAAGCTCTCTCAGAGGAACTTGACGGAGCGAGGTTCAACTCGGGCAGCGCTGGGGCAGCGCTCCCGCCTCGGCTGCGCACGGAGCGCTCAGGGAAAACGCGAACTTTCATTTTCACGCCGCATCCTCCCCCCCGCTCCCCTCCGGCCCGAGCTGTGACTGAGCGTAAGGTACCTGATGGCCGGGTAGTGCTCCCAGCCCCGCTCAGGGATGGGGAAGCCGATATGGAGGTTAGGGAGCTGCCGAAAGCAGCGGGGGAAAGGCAGGCTGCGGTGCCGCCCGAGCCACTCGCTGTCTGCACTTGACTTGTATCTGCTGGAGAGTCCTTCCCTGGGAGCTCCGCGGACCCTGCCTCGGCAGGGAGATCCAGCGCATCCCTGCCAGCCGCTCCTCGGGCTTTCTGACTTCAGTGTTTTGTTCTGTTTTGTGGTTTTGTTTTTTTTTTAGTCTGATGCGCTTTTTTAAAAAGGGAAAAGAAAGCAGAGGCCTGAGACCTGCAAACTGTTGTTCCCATGACTTCGGGGAAGATTTTTCAAAAGTACAGAATGAGAGTCTGGGAGCTCTGCTCCCACTGACTTTCAAAATCTTCCCTTCACGTCTGTGAGCGAGTCATCTTGAACTCGGTTGACTGCTGGCAGACGAGCATTAGCAGGCTCAGGGCCTAATGCTTTTCATGATTCCACTGCTCCCTGCTAGAGCTGCACTGACAAAAATATAAGCAGAACAAGTTTTTGAAAGGGAGAGGTAATGTCTCTTTTTTTTTTTTTAACTAACTGCCACAGTAGAAAACACGAAGCCTTTGGTCTCAAAGAACTTAGACCATCATGGCTACGAAAACTACTGCTACTCAGAAAGTATGTAATTCTGGAGCTCCTTAGTGACGAAAGTAGTGCAAGGCAACATGTAAGTAATCACATAACTAATTTTAGGCATTTGTTATTATATTTTCCTCGTATTTGAAGTTTGGTATTGCTAAAGAAACAGATTCCTAATTTTTTAAACCAGGTTCTCAGTGAAAATGAGCCAGATAAAAAAAACTTCTGTTCATAAAGCCATTCTATTAATAAGGAGGAAATATAAATGATTTGCAGTGTATTTACGTTTTTGCTCTTCTTTTAATAAAATTACCCTGAGCAAAATTTTCAAAGTGTGCCTTTCAACTGAAAAGAAATATTTTAAATTTTTTTTTCCCTGAAGGTTATGTGCTTGTGAAAATAAAACTTTGCAGTAGAAATAGCAGTGAAAACAGTAAGAAAAAAAATTATGATGCTGCTGATACTACTTCTCTTTACTTTTGCCCTAAAATAATTCTAGCTATAATTTTTCACCCATTTTTCCAACCAGAGTATAGAAATAAGGTGTAGAAGATGGTACGTCAGTATTCTATGATACACTGTTTCTATGATACATGGTATTCTCTAATATGAATCACACTATTATCCTTTCAGATGTCATTTTGTTAAGATTTTTAATGAAAGTGAAATTTTTACATCCTCTAATATCTAGTACTTGCTTTCAGATTCCATACTTAATGCACATAGGCCCCAATCCTGTACAGACTGAAATGTATATTATTATGTGTAAGCACATTGAGTAGTTCTCTTCATTATTATGCTTTTGTATTTTGGATTTAAGAAGCTAATAGTGATATTACATAATGATTGTTCTCAGAATTACTTAGGACTGCCCAAAACATAAACCTAATTTAATAGTCTTGGTTTATGCCTTCCATGCATATCTCTTAACTTAAATAATGCACAATTAAAATAATTTAAGGATCAGAATGGGTAAATATTTAACTGAAAATCAGAACGAGTGAGAAAGGCAATTGCTGTAGTGTAAAATCCATGTAATACGAGGTGGGTATTGCATTCCCTGGCTGTAGCATCTGGGACAGGATCATCAGTTTCTTTCCTCAGTGACTACTGAAGCCAAAAAGTCACAGCAGGAACACAGCTGAAGACAGAAGGGAGAGAAAGGGATTTGTAGCCTCACCAAAAGTGATGTCAATTCTTTGGGTCAAATTTCCATTCCAAACCACCTGGGCTTATTAGAGTGGTGGAAGTCTTCTCTGCTGTGGTAGCAAATATGAGGTTAAGCTGCAGTTTCTATAATGAACTCATTTCCTAATGCAGTTCTCATTACAGGCCTATCTGAACACCTCCTAGTAGTGCCTGTCCTATGTTTCAGTTCTTCTCCTCAGACAGTGCCATTGAATTGTCAGAGAATCTCCTCATACTGTAATAAGTGACATGACCAGCATTTGTCATATTAGCTATTCTCTTGTTTCCAGGGGAAGGAGCACGTGCAGTTGAATATTTTCAGTTTATTTTTTCTGTCTTTTCTTCCATATACATAACATAATGTCTTTATGTTAGTGAGGCAAGGCTGAAATAACAAGTTTTGTTTTCCAGGCAAGGTGCAGTTGGGTTTCTGATGGCCCTTAGCTTCTAGGCACTTTCATTCCTTAGATTTGCACCAGCCCTTTGAAAGTTCTGTCTCTGGAAATGATAGCTTTTTTTTCCCATTCATTGCATAGGTTCTCTTATGTTGGATGAGGGAAACTGTTAACACCTGCATCCAATCTAGAGACCTAGTACGCCCTTCTTTAGGAATCCTGGATTTAGGCCCTGGAGGATCTTGAGACCCTGAATTTGTAAATTAAAAGCCTAGAGAAAATCATTAGAGAGAGTGGTTTATAATATAATCTATGTTGCTGAGATGACATCCCCACTGCTTGCTTCCTGTACTTGGAGTTTCCTATATGCAGCAGAGTTTGTGCTTGGATATACTGAATTGTCTGGTCCAGCTAAGAGGTGGAAAACCAAAGCAAGGTACTTATCTGCTGAAAGGACAGAAGCTTATAGCTAGGAGTGGTTAGAAAGCTGCAGGCTGTCTTCTGACTCAGGCACGCATTGCTTTACAAATTACCTTGCTATGTGTTGCTAAGATTTATTTTACAACTGTGAGGATTAGAGGAATTTGTTGTAATGAAAATTGGCATTGTGTCATTACCATGTAACTTTTTAGTTAGATTATTTGGCTTGCTTGGGTTCTTGCATGTTATTCCATTTCATCTGGATCAGTTCCTAGGTAAGTTAGACCAGTTTGGGGGCGCTAAGATGCACCCACATAATTATAATAATTGCACTCCTACATATTACTTTGGTGTGTATTTCTGTGTTTGTATTGTATATGGGCATACAGCCAGTGGGAGTTTGAATTTTTTTCTATTTATTTTTCTAAGTTGAGCCCTGCCTTGCCCCTGATTTTCATCCAGCCTTCTAGATCCCTGTTATAGGAATCAGGCCTCCCTTCAGGCCTCCTCTGTAAATTTTGTATCACTTGAAGTTTAAAGTTTCAGTTTAATAACCTACTGACTGTAGTTGGACATCCTCTTTCATGTGTGAGTGTTCTACTTCCTTCTGTAGCCCTTCAGTTTCTGATTTGCCCTGACAAATACGGGATTTGGAATTGCTTTTGCAATTTCAATCTGCTAGCAATGATAGAGTTTGTAATCTAGAAAGGACTGAAGTGGACATAATTTACTATTGTGCAATGAAAACAGAGTTTTGAATTTGCCAGAATAGACCTGATCTAGGGATGCTTCTATAGACTGTAAGGACTGCAAGAAGTGTGTGCTGGCTTAGGACCTGGGTATACTTTATTAGACTTCCTATGAACTTGAAGATCAAAAATAAAATTGTTTTTTTTGTTTTTTTTACCTCCTAATTTTTCAATAGAACATTTTCCATTTAGCTTTTTTTTTAAGCCTCTAAAATGCTCAGTGTAGCATAAAGACTAATGATGTTGTTGTCAAAAGGTTGAATTTACTATATTTCGTTCACATCTTTTAATATTGACTCCAATACCTATAGGCCTGACTCATAGTAACGAACATGTCCCTGAGGATTTAAGAAAGGATTTGGTATTAAACTTAGGTTCTGTGGTAAAGTTTTGCTAAAATGGCCTAACTGTAAATTCTAAATGTTTTAATATTTTTGTGGATTTAATGATTGTGAAAAGTGCTGGCTCGGTATCTGTGAAAACTGAAGCCTATTCTTTATTCATGGATTAATTACAGCAGAGCAGTTGCCAAGTGATCTTCTCCACAGCATGCATGAACTTCAGCCTGGAACTGAAGAGGACTCATCAAATGGTGAGAAAATAGCGTGGTTGTCATGACTGTTAAGTTAGGGATGCTCTATTATTTTTTTTCTGCTTAGCATTGATTCTGTTATTTTATAGGTATTGAAGTTAAATTTTTGTAGGGTAATTTTTGGGGTCATAACCTAATTTCTTCTCCACCCCTCATATATCAGCTCTTTATTTTTCAAGCTTTGCTTTCTTCCTTGCTGTCCTTCACTTTTCAGAAATAATTGTTAGTGATACCCTGCATTCATTAGCTAATTTCTTTATTACTTTTTTAATGTTAGTCCTTGTGCTTGACTCTGTTCACAAGTAGTTTTATCAGCAGCACTACTCAGAAGAGTGAAGTTCAGATATGTGAAGCTGTTTGAAAGACTGAAGCTTAAACTTTGCAGATACGTATGCCTGCATTTAAATGAAATGCTACTGAAATGAATGGAGGAGTGAGGGATCTGGAAATGCTCTTAGCTAGTACTAATTTGTTTGCTCTTTTGCTGTTCAGTTTATTTCTTGTAAGACAACTTGATGAAAGTTGTTCATTTGCTTCTCTAGTTTCCCAATTTCTGGGAAATTTTGAACTCTGAGCTTCACAACGTTTATAAAATTTTGGTAGTGCTCATAATTCTTCTGAGAACAAAACATTATTTTGTTTAGCCATTTTAAGAAAAGGTAACTGAATCTACAGAGGAACTAATTCTCTCTCTAATTCACTACCTTATCAGGTCTTTAGTCTTACTCTTAATAATAAGTAATGATTTTTATATGTATGGATTTATTAAATGTATTTTAAAACGAGCGAGTTCCTTTTTTTTTACAGCTATAGATAAAGGATGGAATATTGGTAGCAGGGGCTTGCATGTGAGAATATAGTTGTTGAGCATTGAGTTTGACTTAGTGGTAATTTAGATAGGTGACAGTTAAAAATAAGAGTGCACACAATGCAGTTCAGGAAACAGATCACAGTAGTCAGAACTTCACAGAATGCTGAGAGATGCCCTAAATGTTTTTCGTATTTCAACAAATGGCTCAATAACTGTTTCCCTTTAGTAACTATTGTAGAGTAAGAACTAAAAGGGACAGAACCCTGTTAGTGGCTTATGATTTCCACAGTTTTTCTTGTTGGAATAGAGGTTATTAACCCTGTTCCAACTGTTTACCCAATTGGGTTTGGAAATGCCAGTGTGTTTAAATAGTCAAGAGAGATGGTGAACCCTTTATACCAATATCTGAACTACACCCTGTGTTAAGAATTACTTCAGTACTGTTATCAACCATTGAACTAATTTAACCTTTGCCAGGGTTCTTTACCATTACATGTTTTAAAAACAAAGTTTAATACTTAAGCCAGAAAGAAGCAGCAGTTTTCAGGCACAGTGCATTGAGATGTAACCCAGAGGTCATTTATTTTTAATACAGATTCAACAATCCATTTCTTTGTTCTTTCTCAGCCACTTTTTCTTTAGTTTTCTTTTAGGGAGCTGATTCTTGAATTAACTTTAAGCACTTAACTATTTACATTCTGCTTCACCAAACAATTAATCCTGTATTTAAGTTAAAATACTTGCATGAGTATGGCTTTTCAGAGAAGAGTCTGAATCCACAGTAGTCTTTTACGTCTCTTGTACTTGACTTTGCCTGTCTGGTAACCAATAGGCTGGATCCAGACTAGCACCAAAGTGTGGGTCTACCTGTTATTTGGGTAGGGAGTTGGGGCTCAGATTTGAATGTGTGCTCAATACGACTGACACAGTGAATGATTACAATATCATTACATTTATTTTCAAATCTAAGCACTTTAGTTGTTTAGCTGAGCAGAGTTTAGATACTCCAAATGCTTAAAGTTGAATGGTTCAAGTTAAGTGGCATGAAGGTTTTCCTAAAGCATTTTTTGAATTGATGTAGTGCTTTTACTGCAGTAGAAGAAGAGATGGGCCAATCTCAAAACAGTTTTGAAAAGCTCATTTTCATTACTCTGCTAAGAATATAATTTTGTTTCTTGTGTTCTGTCCCCTTTTGGTCAAATCACTTTCACTTCCCTAACTCTTCTTATACCCATTGTGTCCTGCTAACCTTTCCTCTAATGTCCAGTTTTCTATTAACTTTTGCACGCTGATTATTCTTTGTCTCTCTTCTTTTTACTGGAGTTTTAGAGAGGTCATTATACTTTTTCAATTTCTTTCCTTCTTTCATCAGTTCCTGGAATCCAGCAACAAATAAAACCCTCTGATTGCAACTATGCCTTGGTGAGAAACACAAAAATTTAGTGCTATATCAATAGAAAGGGTAAGCAGAGCATTGTGGATGCCATGTATAGAGAAGGGAACTGGGATTTGCATATTATTGAAAATTATTCCTTAATTTGGAATACCAGTATCTGCATCCAGGTACTGAGGTCAGAATTTTAAAGTGATGCATTAAAAATCACTATGTTTATTAAAAAGAAAAAACACTAAGCCAAACCAAAACAAACCCGTAAAAACCCCACCAACCAGAAACTACAAAATCGAGGTATACTGAATAGACTTTGATTAGACTTGATGGCACTGCTTTATTGAACTATGTATCACTGAACTTTTCTTAAGCCTTAGGAAAGACAGCATGGAGTTGGAAGAGAAGCAGGGATCTCCACGAAGGGCAGTCAGTTATACTCTTGGTAAGTTAAAAAGAAATATAAAATTGTATTTCTGTTAAATTTTCACCTTCATGAAGCAACCTGTATTTAGGGCCCTGTTCACTATGGCAAAACAAAGCCCGTTTTATTGAAACAGTCTCTACATTCTCTGGATTCGTTTATGCTATCACTGCATAAAAATCTGGGTTCTGTTATAGCTGACTTTGTTGTGTAACTCCTCAATGAAAACAATAAATGACATAAGAATCATTAGTTATTTTCCCAGTGATTATGCTACAGTGTTTTCATGCCTAGTTTTTGAACAAAACAAGATATATAGGATAGTGTTATCTCCTAATAATTTTTGAATCCACTGCTTAATTTCAGGTCTATTTGATATAGAGTTAGAGGTCACAAAGTCAAGTTTCTGCAAATTGAATGAAACTTAGCAGCTGTGAGTAGAGAAGGGACTCAAATTAGTGCCCCCAGGGTAGAAAAAGCTGCAGCACGGACTCAGAAATTTTCTGTTCTGTTCAACTTGTTGACTTGCAGGTCGGCATGCTTGGTTGGGCTGCCAGTCACCACATGTGTAGTTCAGACCTAGCCACAATGTGAGCTGCCTCTTGTTCTGCTAAATGTCAGAAGCTGGAATTTGGGGAAATCTGTTAAGAAGGGAATGGGAAAACAGCCAGGCTAGGTTTGGGCCGGGGTTCTGCAGAAGTGTGTTGGTGGCACCTACAAGCTTGCTGATAGGTACCTAGACTTCATTACTTCTGCTAGTCATGAAGAAAACTTGGTTTTGCCAGGGCCTTCTAGTCTCCCAAACCTCTTGAGAATCATTCCATTTTATAGTAGTTTCTATACCTGGATTAGAAACATGTTTTTCCTGTCCATGTCAGAGAAGGGAAATGTTGAGACAGCTTCATTGTTTAGTTTCTTTGATTTGGATGTTACCTCTGAGCTACTCTTAGGCCGTCAAAATTGTTAAACTGTGTTTTCAGCTCTCTCCAGAAACTGACTGTAATTTAGACTGCTGCTATGTGTCCCTGACCCATCCTACAATCTACACTCTTGGAACAGTGCAGAAAATATGCATTGTATTCCAATTAACTTAAATTGTGAAGAAAGATGTGGAGCTAGATACAGGGATAGAAAACAATATTAGGATCAAGTTGCATCAGGTTACCACATTGCATTGCGACTTGGGAAATGCTAAATCTGTAGCTGCATGATTTTGTCACAATTGTCCTGAAAGGTCTGGTCTGTCCATTCATCTCAGTCAATGAGAAATGGGATTACACTTGCCAGAGGTACTACTTCACTTACTGTGTAGACACACTAATTTGGCACATGTCTGATACTTTTGAACTTTCTGTGGAATGTTAGACAGGGGTCAAGATATTACAGTTTTTAAACAGAACTGTAGCACTGTAGCATATTCTTTAGAAAGTTGAATTTCTCAGAGTAACAGAAGCCTAAGAGTCATGCATATGAAATATGAAATTTAAAAGCAGTAACATGAGAAGAAACACTACCAGTCCATTATTGTAAGATAACCATCCTGAAATTTCAACTTTTTGATTGTCCTCCTGCCCAGTTTTCAACCTGGCAGCAAGGAACAAAAACCTGTGATATTCTTTTCCTTTTTTCTGCTAATTTTCCTATAGTTTTTTTCATGAAATCAAAGCCAAGAGGAGACCAACTCATCATTACAAAAAAAAAAGAAAAATATCCAAACCAAACTTGCGTTGTGTTTTATGAAACTTTTGGTTTTTCTGCTAGATTCCCAAATATTTTCATTTGGTCCCAGATTTCTTTTTTTTTTTTTTTTTTTTATATTTCTTTTTTCCCCAATGCTGTCAGTATTACAAAAAAAAAAGAAAAATATCCAAACCAAACTTGCGTTGTGTTTTATGAAACTTTTGGTTTTTCTGCTAGATTCCCAAATATTTTCATTTGGTCCCAGATTTCTTTTTTTTTTTTTTTTTTTTAATATCATTGTTTCCCCAATGCTGTCAGTATTACAGGAATGAAGAAATGTTTTCTGCATGTTTATAGTATCTATTGGTGGTTCTTAGGTTCTTATAACCCTTATTACCATGAATCTTGCATAATGTCACCTGTTAAATATTATTTAATGACACCTAGGGCTAACCTGCTTTTAAATGGTTTATAATATATAAAAACATTGTAAGTTATAGCATTTTCCTTTTAAACATCAAGATAAATGTGTTTTTAATAAGAAGAGTAAGGTCAAATTATGAATGTTAAGTTTTCTGTGAGCAGCAAAGTGGTGGTATATTCTTGTTTAACATGTTGGGTGCTCCCTGTGTTTTAAATACCTTCACTAAGTGCTTAAACCTAGCAAATAATTAATTATCACTGATTTTCATGAGGATTTTTGTTCCAAAAAGCTGCTCCTTTTTAGTCTTAAAATGACTAACACTAAACTGCTTTTTATTATGTGTTTTCAAAGGCTTCGGTCTTGGATGCTACTCTCTGTGGTCAGACACTTTCACAATTACGCACACCTCAATAAATTCACAAGCTTATGCTGTGTCCCTAAAATGGGTGTTGTGGGACAGATTTTAAGAAGGCTTAAGCACTAAAAAGTGACTTGCATAATAGACCAAAGAAACCAGGATAATTAATTTTGAGAAAATAATAATTAAAAGTTTAAATTTCAAGTATGTATCAGTAAAAGCTCCCATAATTTGCTGCCACTACATGTAAAATCCACAAGCAATTTTAAGCCAAAATTCTTTAAAGAACGAGCTGAAAATTCCTGTAAATAATATGCAACTTAGAGATGTATGGAACTCCTTTATTATGTGTTAAATGCTGTAATAAAACAGGCTATCAATAGGTTTTGCTGCATGTTACTAATTTTATTTTTTTTAATCTTGGTATTTTTGCAGGTGTGTGGAGGAACAGGTCCTGTTCTCGCTGTTGTTACTCCCACATAGGCAGACTGTAATTGATTATGTGTGGGTAGGGCCCTATTGAAATTCAGGAGATTCTGCAGTAGTGCGGGGTTCTTTTTGTGAAAGTTCAGTTGCAAGATCAGGACCCCACTGTGACTCCTAACTGTGAATTCTGTCAGTGTATCATTGATTGTGCTGGAACCTGCCTTTTGGGATAATGTATGTATTTTAGATATGAACTAATCATAAAACGTTTCTAATTAGAAAATGATTATAATTTACATGCATTCTTTTAATTATGTTTTTTTGGCAGTACCAAATACTATATTCCTCAAAACTTCTTAATGGCACTGAGGCTTTGTGGATAGTTGGTCACATGAGAAAATTCAGCTGTAAGTACATTGAAATGATTGACTTTTTCAATAGTTAGTCTTTACTGATGTTGACAATCTAATGATGATAAAAAATGAATCAAGAGGTTTGACTTATGTCAAATTACTTCAGTTCTTTTTAGAAAATATATAAAGTGTACTCGTTAAAGGATTTAATTATTCTTGGATAATTCAACGTGGAAACCTCAAGTCCTTCTGTACTGCAATTAGGTAGAGACTTTTAATTTGTTTATTTTCTTTATTTTCAGAATAGCATGTCTGTGACTTGCTCTGTATTTTCACCCATAAACTTTCTGAAATGTATAGCTCTATAAAACCGTTTATATCACTAATAGTTGTGTAGATATTGCAAACTGATTTACTGAGATAATTGTCTTGCTGGGTTGAACATTGACATTTTAATAAATATACGCTTACACTCGTGTCAGTGTAACTTGGTTAAATTTGACTGAGCTGGCATTATGAGTGAATTTGATTATACATGCTGATTAGCTAAGTTTTAGGCAGGAACTACATATTACCCATATCATATATCAGTGGATTCACCCCAAAATAACTATAAATATCTATCCTTGCATTAAGGAGGAAGTTCTTTTCCTGTAGCTATGGGTACAGTCATTGCTTTGACTCTTAGTTTTATATACAAATGAGCAAAAACTATATGTAGGGATTTCCCTGTATAACAAAAGGAGTATTGTAAATTATACCCTTTTTTATGATGATGTATTTCCTTTCTGGTATTCAAATTGAAGAATGTTTTCAATTGTCTTAGTGTCAAAAAAATGGAAAAACTGGAAATGTTACTGAATTTGTGAATATCAAGGGGCTGTAAAGGTCTAGAGGAGTTGTGTGTAAGGACAGTTAGAGATTCTGTCTCATGGAGCAAGGACACAGACAGTAATTGATGAGCGAAGGTTAAGGAGGACGGGATTATTTTTGTTGCTTGGCAGAAGAGCAGAATGAAAGGAAAATAATTTGAAGAAAGAGCATGACCAAAGAAGAAATCAGACTTGGATCAGAAGCAGACTAAAGACTCCAATTAAAAAAAGGAAACAAAAACAAAACCCCAAAGAAAACACAGAACCAGAATACACCTGAAAGGAGAACTAAATGCATAGCTACTGGTATTTTTCATTGCTCTGAATATATGATAGATTTAAGTTTAGAGAGTTTGGTAACTGCTTTTCTCTACTTTTTTTTTTGGTTGGTTTTGGTTTTTGTTTCGTTTTCTGTTGGAGGGGAGTATAAGGCCTTTGAAGTTTTGAAGAAGATGCATTGACTAGTTGTGAATTACCTGTATAAACCGAGGATTCAAGGTGACAGTTACAACTAAGAACAGAGGACACTGGGTTGCTAAATAAAATTAGTGCTAAGCAGAAGCTGTAATTTCTTGTTCTAACACGAAACTTAGTGATTTTGAAATGCATCATCTTCAACAGCGCTCAAACCACAATTTTATTATGTTCGTTACAGGATGGGAATTTTCAGAGTTCTATTTAAAAACTTTGATAGTGATTCTGTTGAGATTTTGCAATATAAAATGAAATGCAGATTTCTCAATATGCAATGAAATCATGATTTGAGAACATTGGATATTTCATTTTGCATAAAAAAAATTGATTGGCATATTTTTTAAAATGTTTAGAACTATTGGTTTACTGATTTTACCTTTTGATCCTATTGGCCATATATATTCTTACTTGCATTAAGTTGAGTAAAAGAAAGAAAAGTAGAGGGAGATTAGATGATTGGAAAAAACACAAAACCAACCTAAACCACAGCTCTTTATCTGTGCTCTAGACCAAAAGAAGTGCTTCAGAACAGATCTAGTTTCAGAGGAGAAAAGGAAGGAAAGTGATGTGCCAGTGAGGGGGGTATGAGGAATCCCCTGGATGTTTCATCTGTATCCGATATTTTTCACTCCTCACCACTGAGAGACAGATCACCTGGGTGTGACTGCTTCTCCTTCTCATGACAGCAGCTTCCCAGTACTTTGAGGGAGATAGTGTTGGGGCACAGCTCTGTTCTGCCTGCAGTAGCACTGCTACAAATGCTTGGAAGAAAAGGAACTCTGAATTGTCTCCTGCTACAGGAGGAGCTGTACCAGCTCTCCACTACTCAGTGCTGCTAACCTCTGTTGTTGAGCACCTGATCTGATTGTTTCTTTGGTTTAACCTATGCTGTGATGCTGTAAAAGACTGAAACCAGGAGAAAAATTAGAAATAAGATAACAAGAGGAGATGATGTTTTGGAATGTAGGGAGTGGGCATTTGCTGCACAGCTACACATTGTGTGGACTTGAGAATACCTCAAGAGCTGAAATGCTGAACTACAGCAACAGAGTAAGTTTCCTTCTGTGCACTGAGAAGAAAAGCAAATGTGCCTGAACATTAAGCATGTTAGTTGTAAGTTTGTGAGATCTTTTTCTCTGTTGCTGTTTGCACTTGGCTTGTATCATGACTGTCCTGTCTTCAAACTGGATGTAGCATGTCTTTGTGTCAAATGAGGCACTCCTCATAATCTAACGTCATGAACATTGTTTTTCTTCAACCCTTAAAAGTCAAAACATGGCAGCATAGATAGCTGTAATAAGTTAATAATAAATGTGACATGAAAGAATTTTCTCATTTCACAGTATTTATGGGAAAAACAATGTTTTGTGTTTCATATACCTCTTGTTTTCCAATCCTAAGCAGATGTAATGCATGAAAATTGTCCTCAACAGTGCTCTCAGTTCTTTATTTCTAGTTAGAACTATTGGTCTTCCGTTAGTAGTTTTTTTCATATTTAGGTTGATGCCCTCAGAAAATCTCTACATTCTCTATGAAAGACACTGTCACGCTGTCATTTGTTTTGTCATCAAGTCTAGGGTAAATCTGCATTTGGGAATCTTTTTCCAATCTTTTAGGGATGGTCATTCTTCTCTGTCAGATGATTTTATTTTTTCAGCCAGGTTTTTCATGGATCACGTCTTTCTTGGAAAATCTCTTACTTTTGCCTTGACAAATTGCAGCCTTGCCATGCTTGTTAGCTAGTCAAAGTGTTATGCTACTGTAAATACCGTTTTCCGAACTTACTCCTTTGCTATTTTCAATTTCCTCCTTCAGTTTAAAGCAATAAAGATAAGCTATCTGTCTTTATTTTCAAGGCCCATCAAGACTACTTCTACCTGATACCTCTCCTTCAATATCAAGAGTTTGACTCTGGTTTTGATCAACATAGGATGCCAACTTCCATCATTCAATCATTACATTTTCAGACAACACTGGATATTTTCTTCTCGACTGCCTCTCATGTATTGGTTGACTTCTTCATAAACAGAAATGTTCACTATCTTTCTTTAAATTTCTTCTTAAAAGTTTTACGTACTGTGAAGCTTAAAACAGTCTCACTAGACAACAGATATATTGCAGGTATATTAATGCCAACACATATCACAGTAGTACTGTGTCATTGCATTTGTACTCTGCCATAATTTCTCTGTTGTCTCTTTATGTAGAATTTAAGCACATCTATATTTTGTTTTGTGTTTATTCATGGTCCAGCGTAATGTGAAGTGGTCCAGGGTAAGGCCTTCCAAGATTTATGGTAATACAAATAAATAATAATGAATACCTGCTGGATGCTGTAGTGTAGCTGTTAGATTCTGTTGTGCCTAATGTCACATCATATTTAGTGCAGAAAGAAGGTTCTCCAACTAGAGGCCTCACAAAAGGGAAAGAAGTGAGTTGCAGCCAACAGAAAAAATGCTAGCCTCAGAGGCCTTCTCAGCTGTCAAACTGAAGTCAGTAGCTACTGGCATTGTATCCTGAAAGCATCCCTCTCTTCTCTATAGCTGTAAGAACAGATTCTCCCTCCTCATATAAGGAAGTAAATGCAAATATCACAAAGTTCTGCAGTGTGTGCAGAAGGTTAAAGGACTTTTTATACTTCCATAGCATCCTTAGTTCGTTCCCTTCCTGACACAGCCTCTCTTGGTACAGAAATCTTGAATAACCACAACTGTGCCATTTGTCAGTCTTTTTTTCAAATGCCATTTGATTTTTTTTGAGAAGAAACTTAGACTAGTTTTTGTTTGGTATCTTGGCACATTGCTATCTCGTAGTGCTCTGTTTTCATTGTGCCCTGAGGGTAATGATTCTTCAGAAGAGTGTTAAGGATGAATTCCATTAGAAATTCCCCAGGTATGTCACCCTCTTTCTGTAAGTGGGTCTGCATGTAACCCTTTCCTTTCTTTCAAAGGGACGATGAAATGTCAGAGTATAGGTCATACAGAGATGATGGAATGTTTAGTGCCTGGCTGATACAGAGATGGTAGATTAGACTATGCAGACAAATGATGCTGTATGTACCAAAGAAATTATAGTCAAATAATTTTATCAGAATAAACAAAAAAGCTTAATTACAAGTGGTTCTGTAGCTGAATAGGAGAAGTTTAATAAGAGCTCTGGGCTTGTTGATGGGATGGAGACAGTTGCTGTGAAATACTGTGGGAGACTGGAGAGGCTGTACAACCCAAAAGCTTGATTGTAGCAAGAGTCCTTGGTTATATATGTACAGACTGGATAAACTTAACATTCTGCTACATTACACCATCTTGCACAGGCTGTGTATTTAGATATCATCAAGAACTACTTTTTGGGCAAACAAGCTAGAGAATCCAGAGGAGGGGGACAGCCCTTGATTTAGTCAAGATCAGCACACAACAAATAGAAGAACCATTCAGTAGTGAAATATCATATTCAAGTTTCTCATACTTGTAGGAGAGAAAAAGATTAAAATAAAAAGAAAAAAAGACCCAGTGTTGTGTAAAAAAGAATTGCATACTAATGAAGATAGTTTAAATAAATATTAAAAAATTCACAGGGGCTTTGTTTTCTGAGTCTAACCCAGTTGAATAAGAATTATCTTACACAATTCAACAGTAAAGGAAATTACTAGAAATTAATAGAGCTTTTTGAAAAAGTTAAAATCCAAGCAAGCAAAGCAGAAAAGAGCACAATTCTGGCAAGTTAAATGTAGACCTATTATAAGGCAGAACAAAAAGATTTTGAAATGCAATGGGCTAAAATTCTAAAAGCCAAACTCCATTTTTTTCAAGTGTAAGTTTTGCTAGTAAGGAGGTAAGTTTAAGAGATAATTGTGGTTAGGGAGAATATTGAAGACAAAGCCATCACAGAAAGAAACAACTGAATTCATTGCATTGGCAAGGTTTATGATAGAGATTAGGGGCATCCCTATGTAGAAATCATTTTTTACAGGGAACAGTTCAGATTTGAAATATCAATAAAAGATGTTTTAACAAATTGATAGAATAAACTTTAATAAATTGCCAAATAACATGTTCATTCAGTAGTCCTAGAAAAAGTCAGAAATTAAATTGATGAGCCTTGATAACAGAGGAATGGAAAGTAACGAATTTGATCCTAGTTTTAAAAAGGGCTCTAGTGCTGGTCATGAACTAATGGAACTAAAAAATCTGGCTACCATGACAGACAAAATGCCAGTAAATGTGATAAAGAATACAGTTAATAAGAACATTGATAGGTGTAACAGGCGACCATCGTCTTGGCTTTTCTACAAGTAGTTTTGTCTTAGAGCTTTGCAAGTTATTTGAAGGAGTCAGCAGATTCACAGAAAAGAATGAAAAAGTTTTTAAAAAGTTCTGTAACCAAAAACTGTTAACAAAATGAAGTATAGAGTCACTTAAAATTCTTTCAGTAAAGTGTTAGAAGATAAGGAACAGTATAGTGACTAATGGGCAGTTTTCACATTGCCACCTCACAAAAGTTTGTACTGGCACTTTTGCTGGTCCACCTGTTCCTAAACAGTCTGAAAAAGTGATAAAGATTGCAGGTGATAAAAGGAAAATATTCACAGTTGGAGTGAGACCTATTGTTGACCCTGAAGGATCTCACAGCAGGATCTGTGGTGATCCAGGAGCCTTGGCTGTCAGAGCGGCCAGATATTGCTGACCCCACTGTTCAGCCATATCTATCATCAGAGAGAGGCAGTGGCTGTTGGATTACAGCAGCCATCACACCGTAAACTGTGAGCTCAGCAGGCTGTGACCAGTTCTGCCACTCAGGAAGGCAGGCACTTGTAGCTGTTCTTTCTAACAGCAGGGGCTGCAAATTGGAGAGAAGATTCTTTCTCCCTGTTTCTTAGGGTTTCACAGCCTCAATGAGCCTAAAGTACAGGTTTTGAACCTGAAGTTCCTGCCTGCCACAGGGTTGGAATATCACTCTTAGTGATCAGGAATATCTTGCTGCTGTGAGATGCCAGGGCTCTCAAGTCACCTTACTGGTGTTTGCACATATTTTAGCAGCTCTGGATACTTTTTTTTTTGCTACTGAAAATTTTCCAGCATCATAAAATATTTGTATTTTAGTTGCCCTTGACATACCTTAATTCCTGTTGACCTGAGTGTCATACAAGCACATCCGTAAGTAATTTGTAGAGATGTTATCTTTTCTAACACACTGTGCATATTTATGTTAGGAATTATGGTGGTGTCAAATTTTAGGCACACCAAATTATAAGCCATATTCAAATGGTTTAAATATGTTTATCTTGAAGAAATAATTTATCTAAAACTATTATGGTGTATTTTATGAAATTTAAAAAAATACTGGAAAACAATGTTATTGACAGTAGTGTTTTAAAAGGGACTAAAGAAAGGTGCAGGTGAGCATGTTCTGTTTAACTTTTGTGTTCCATATTTCTTACTCTTGTATTGATACATATATGTAATGAGGTGATTTGTGCATGTTTTGTATTATCTTCCCAAATACCTGTTGCTAACTTATATGATTCTGAAGTTGTCTTTGCTCAGACTTGAGCTACTAGGTGAATATGAGATGAAGAGGAATCTTTATCTTGTGTCAGAAAGGAACATGTAAGGGAGGAGACAGTGACTTCTGCTATAGTGTAGAAAAAGGTGATTTCCTGGTGTCATCCGTGAGTGACGAAAGAGGGATTAATGAGACTAGACAAGGCATATGGGTACAGAAGCAGTGATGATGTGCATTGATAGGTCTGGGGATTAGTGTATGTGAATGAAGAATTTGGAATAGGTATCAGAAAAGGAGTTTCTGTAAGAGGCGGAAAGATCACAGTTGGATAAATATACTGGGATCAGTTGGAAGTCACTTTACTACAAAGCATGGTTACAGCTCTCTAACTGACTCTTGCTCACTCCACACCTGCCCTAATTATACCCTTCCCCATGTCTTCTGGAACCTCACCTTCTTTTCCAGTTCCTGCACATGACCCTTTTAAGTGGAAAACCTCCTTTTCTGCTTACTCCAGGAACAGTTACACACAAAGGTTCAGATGATCCTGTAAATCTCTCCTAACTAAAGCTTCTCTTCTGTCCCACTATACTTCTGCCTCCTGCGTATGGGGTTCCACACTGCAGATGCAAACAGACAAATGAATCATAGAACAGAATCATAGAATCATTTAGGTTGGAAAAGGCCCTTAAGGTCATCAAGTTAACTATAAACCTAGCAGTATGAAGTCCACCCTAAACTGTCTCTCTAAGCGCCATGTCTACATATCTTTTAAATTCCCTGGGCAACCTGTTCCAGTGCTTGACAACTCTTTCATTGCCCTTCTCTGGTGCTCCAGCACCTCAATGTCTGTCTCGTAACAAGAAGCCCCAAACACATTATTGGTGGTGTAGCCTCACCACTGAATACAAAGGGATCCAAATGAGATGCTGTGGAAGTGCTGGGTGAAAAAATAATGCTTCTCCTTTCCAGCATACAGTTTGCACCTTCTTCAAGTGGGACATGTCCCATCATTTGAAGTCTGCTGATCAAAAATTAAGTAATTCGTTGCTTTTCCTCTCTTCATGTAACACTCATAAGAATGTGATGATTTTTTTTTTCCACATGGTGAGTTATGACTTTTAGATAATGTTTGTCTTACTAGACAGCAGAAAAAAAATCTCAGGTTTCTAAACCTTGGTCCCTTTGACTTACATTTTTCTGTGATCTATGACCTTCCTAAAAATAAATGAATAATTTCAGTGGATTATTGCACCTACTGGCAATAAATTGAAGCTTATGAACAGTATGGTTGCTTTTCTTAATTATTACTTTGCTGATCCCTAGAAAGTTGTTCATGAAGACTAAAGAGTCAGCAGAAATATTGAAAGCAATGTGATAGGGCATCCCCTTAAATGCATGCGTTTTTTTTAAATGCAGTGGGGTTTTTTTGTCACAGATATTTTAATAAGTTTTAAGCTTTTATTTGACAGTTTTGCTTCTTAATATTGATTATGGTTGCACATTTATGTCTATGACTAAACTTAACTAACAAGATGCATGATTTCTGCTAGAGCTTAAAATTCAGAAATTAATAATCCTTTCAGCATGTGACCATACGAATAGATTATGTACCAAGATAGAATCATAGAATAGATTGGGTTGGAAAAGACCTCCAAGATCATCAAGTCCAAGCCCTGATCCAACTCCAATTACTATATCATGGCACTAAGGGCCACGTCCAATCTCTTTTTAAAAACCTCCAGGGATGGTGAATCCACCACCTCTCTGGGTAGGCCGTTCCAATGCCTGATAACCCTCTCTGTAAAGAATTTCTTCCTAACATCTAACCTAAACCTCCCCTGGGAGAGCTTGAGCCCATGTCCCCTTGTCCTATTGTTGGTTGCCTGGGAGAAGAGACCAACCCCCACCTGGCTATAACCTCCCTTCATGTAGTTGAAGAGAGTGATGAGGTCGCCTCTAAGCCTTCTCTTCTCCAGACTAAACAACCCCAGCTCCCTCAGCCTCTCCTCACAGGACTTGTGCTCAAGTCCCTTCACCAGCCTGTAACAATAGTAAAATAAAGCATACTTTTTTTTCTTTTTGTTAGAGGGCACATTATTTTAATAGGAAACTATTCTGGTGCTTCTTTCTTGGGCAGATTTCTATAGTGCATATAGATATCATTCTTTTAATTAGTCAATGTTGGTTCCTAAAAATTTGCATTACTCTCGTTGCTTGTCATATGTCATATTATCTTTAAGACTGCAGGAGTTCATGATTCCTGAGGTAACACCTTGAAGTTCTGGCACTGTCTTCTACAAAGTAACTTACACTGAGCTAACTTCCTGTTACCATGTCAGTGAAACATCACATGTTGATACTATGTGTGAAACAGCATTTGATATTATGGCTATTAAGCTACTTGAAAAAATATTGTGAAGATGGATTTTGTGTTTAGAAGAGCTGGCATCTAAAAATATATGTAGTGGTTGCAGGTAATAAATGTTTTTTATGAATTGTTACAGGAGAGAAAATATTTACATTTCTGTACAATATGCTAGTCTTAACACTAGCTATTTTTATCTTCTACATATAATAAGGTGGTTATAAAGTGTTTAAAGACATAAATAATTTTGTTCGTTAAAGCATTCAGTGCATCATTTAGAATGGCTACTAAAGGAGAGAAGTGAACGTGCACTTCTCTTAACAGATAAGCATAAAAATAAGGTACCAGAGATAATGATAGAGTTCAAATCAGTAAAAATCATTGTTATGTTTTGCTGTGTGAGTAGAGCTCTTCACAGAATGGTGATTTCATTCTAAGACTACAGTTATCTAAATAGATTTTCATTGATGAACTTTATTCCGGTGATTTTACGAATTTGTTGGAAATGAGAGAACACAAAGACTCACTGATCTTCAGCTATGCTAAGACCTTTCAGAACTTGGTATTTCACCCCAGGATTGGATTCATAGCCCTTTTAAAATTTGGAATTTCAGAAATTGTGCAGGTGAGTAGGAAAAAGCAAAGAAAGAAACTGAAATGGAGAGGAAATTATTTTCCTTTACAGAAGGAAAGGAAAGATTAAAAAAACTTAATGAGCATAGGACAAATAATATGGTGAAAGGGAGGAGTCAGGTAAGTGTTTACAGTAATATTTTGTATTTAGTGCTCAGATATGTTATGCTTTGTGCTTACATGGAAAACAGAGCGAGACTTCAGTTTTCTGACTAACTGCTGTGCTGAGTTGTACTTTACTCACTGTGCATTTTTATTTTAACATGATCTCTTCTAAGAAAGGCTTTAAATTGACTTTCAGGGCCAACCTGAATCAAAAAATGCATTATCCTACTAGAAAATGATGACTGCCCCAATGTTCTGTTCTCCCAGGTTAGCTCTTAAAAACCCCACTATTAGACATGACCAAATCAAAGCCATTTTTTAATATATATTTCTATTAATTCTACTCACTAGCATTTGGGAAAGAGTGCAGGCAGGCAGGCAATAACAGTTAGGAGTGGCAAAATTTGTGTGTAAAACCTAATTGTAATAATGCTGAAATTGAAAATAGAAACTGCTAAATAATCATTATTCAGCAGGACTAGGCAAAGTCAATCCATTCATAATCAAATGTGGCTGTAGAACAATGGATTACTTACATTGGCATTTGTTACAGGTTAGACATCAGTATGTGGATTTCATCCATAAGCTGTAATAAAATAAAATAAATTAGGAAATTGCTAAAAAGTTTAATTCTGTAATTTGTTAATTTATGTGCTTAGTTACTGCATTATTCCTATGAGTATATATGGTATTAGAGCAGAGTAAATGTTTAGGGAAATCTTGTGTTTTAAACTGAGCAATTAACTATTATTTACACAGTGAGTATAACTGGTCTTCATGAATTACCATGCAAAACCTGTTTATTTTTATCTACAGAGATAAGGACCTCCCATTTTCTTACATTCACTCAGTGGTATGCATAAAACACCGTAACTGTCCACCTGAGCAACACTTTAGTGTAACTGAACTCTGAGCAGATGTACAGCAGTAAATGTACATCCCCTCTAAAACTGCTCCTTTGCTGACTGGAGACAGAGAGTGGAAAATGGGTGGAGCAGGGAGAGGCCTTATGGTACCAGTTCACAATTAATTTTGAAATGGTAACATCTACTTTTTGGAATGTAGTGTATTAATTTCTGCTGATAGAGATAGGTCTACATAAGAACTATTCTATAAATTGCTCTGTGATAGGTTTCCTGTTCCTGTGCCACGTCTTTGTCACTGAGCAGCAGTTTTTAAGGGCACCCAGTGAAGATCTGAATACTGAAAAACTGACATAACTGTACTATTCATATTCATTCATAAAACTTTTAGAAGTTCTAAATAAGAGACTTCATGCTGTATTTTATAATCAGCCCTTACTGTTATGTTGTGAATACAGAATCCCAGTGATGTCAAGCTTTAATTTTTATTTGCAGCAGATAAACATAAAGCCCCAGTAGTACTTAATTAGTTCTAACAGAAAAACAAACTTCCTTTATTTTGTTAGGGTCGATCTTCATTTTTGTGCTCAGTGTAATGCACACAAGTGGTGTTCAGTAGTAAAATATTATACCGCTCAAGCCTATTACATGGTCTGTGTGGATGAAAGTCATTTGTAAATATTCCTTGTTCAGATTAAAGGAAATTGAAAATATGCTGTATCTCATTTTAATCCAGATGTTGTTATCTGTAAGTTTTCAGCTTTAAGATATGATGCTAGGTTTGTAAATACCTAGTGAACTTCACAAAATTAATTACATTTCAGCTATGTGATTCAAACTCTAAGATTCAGACCTTAGGATGGGATGAATCGCCCTCTGGAGGTGCCCATTTCAGTCTACTGACTTCACAGGAATCCTCCTCTGAACTGACTTGCTCAAGCTAAAGTTAAGTGAGTGGGCTGTCACCTTAATTGAGGAATAACTGAGCATTTCATACCGTACTAGGTCTCTTCTCTAGACCTCTTTAAGACTGGCTGCCTTATTCCTCACCTTTTCTGTCAGTGTTCTTGTACTGTTTCTAATATGAATAAACACAATTGTTATGGTTGCCATTTTCTGTGTATTTTGTTTTTCCTGTCCTTTTTGATTTTATTATCTTATCTTTCCCTGTTTTTTTTCTCTTTTCCTGACTCTTTTTAGCTACCATGCCTTCTGAAGCTTTTCACTTGCTACCTCTCTGACAATCCCTGTTGAAAGTATTGTCCTAACTTCTGATGTGAAAGATTGCTGACCCTTCCTTTGATGCTGATACCATTATTTTCTGGGACTGATAGTACTGTAGTGAAGACATAGAAAAAGAAGAATATGGCACTCATTAATTTTTTTATGATTTTGAATAGTCAAAAAATATTGTTCTTCTGCCTTCATATAAAATGTGCTGGTTCCTAATGTAATTGTGATTTAAAGATGTTTGTAGAAATGTAAAATCAGTGTGAAGAGTATAAAATCCATATTAAAGACATATAGATTTAATAAAATACAGCATTAGTCTTTATTTTAACAATTGATTTCTATATGGCTCACTTGCAGAAAGTGGGGGAGACTTACAAAGTTGGTTACTGGTAAAGTCTAACTTATTAAAAGGTGAAATTATTTTCCTTCTCCCTATGGTAATATTTTCTTGATTTATCTCCTTCTCTTGAGTTCTCTGTCTTCTTCCCTTCTTTTTTGGTTCCTTCTGTTAACCTAAGTTTCTGGTTCCTTTCTGCACTGGACTCTCCTAACTCTTTTGATTTAATACTGGTACCTTTTTTCCTCATATGTGTGCATCCATTTGCCTAAAATATTGCCTTGAGCATGATCGTATATACTCAAGAATATATATACTTCTAAACACTGGATGGATCTGCTATTGTAGGACTTCCAGTAAGGAAAAGAAGAAACTTAACAATTTGGAGACAGCATTTAAAGTTTTTTATGATAAATGTGCCTTCAGAAGATCAAAGTACCTTGCTTCCTGCATCCATGGAATAATAATTATGGACAGAGATAAACATTCCTGTAAAAATAAAGACTTATGGTACTTGTTCAATATAGGAATGCTAACTTAAAAGGAGCATCTGAATAAAAGCAAACATGCTGTGTTCATAAATGGTATGGCATAAGTTTTCAGATTTTATTTGCAGATAAAGAAAAATGCTAGTGGAAAGAGTGCTTTGTATTGATATTGATATTGATAGTAATATAAGGAGTTAAAAAAAAGACAACTAAAAGATATAGATCCATAAAATCAGGAGAATTTTTGAAAATCAGACTCTCTTATAGCAGAAATATTAAATAAAAGTTATTTTTTTCTATGGGGTAGCTACCTACATATTTTATTATCTATACGAAATGTCCTTTAGATAATGTGAATTCTTTGGATTGCAATAAAAGGAATACCATGATAAAACATAAATAGTGTTTGTCATCATACAGTTTAGAACTTTGGCTTTAGGTGTGTAAAATAACTCTGAAGCCTCTTCTGATACTTAAAGTAATTTGCAGTAGTAATAATAGAAGTAATAATAGCAATATGCTAGAAAATGATTGGAGATGTGACTGAGAATGTAATTTATGGGGCCTAAAAGTTTTTAATTAGTGTAGTTACAGGCAGTACTTTGCATAATTTTGAGGCCATTAAAAAAGCACCTTCTTTGCCAGATTTTTTTACTGAGCATGAGGATGACATTATAGACAAGGACTAGGAAGCAGAGGAAATTTGGAATCTCTAAAACAGTTACACCAATGATAGAGTTTGTGTTGAACAATAGTAGCAGGAAGATTTTTGCCAGAAAGAACTTGCATCAACTGCAGTGATTTTTGTAAAAAAGAACTATATGAAATCATCCATAGAAGAAGAAAGAATATTAAAAACTATGTAAAACCTGATAGGACTTTCTGGGGTATATCCTCAAATGGTATAAATTGGCATGCATACATTTAAGTCACTATTGCTTACTGAAGATTTGTCCTTTTTATTAACTATATAATGCAATACAAATCCTGAAATAATCCCTCACTTAATAGTCATATTCATTTTACAGCAGAGTAGTTATGGTATAAGGCCTTACTCATCATGGGAAATAATACAATTCTAACAATGGTGTATTATTGTTAGAAGGAAGTACACGAAACTGACTTAAATTAGTGTAGTTTTAGAAAATTAGTTTTGAGAGTACTGATATTGATATAACTTGTTAAGGTACAAAACTATTGTTTTATAGTATTCTTTAATTAGTACTACTTGCTTGATAGTACTACTAATCCAGAATTTAGACTTGTAGTTTGAAGATAATAATATACTTTGTATATTTTTGATTTGCAATTTTTGAGTGATAATATCTCAGTTAAAACAATCAGTTAAAAAGTCTTTATTTTTACATATATTAGGAACATTGAGGAAAGCATAGCTGGAAATACTAACAAAACAGGGAAGATTTTTCAGCAAATGAGTAAGTGTAACCACAGGGAAACATCTACAGGAGGAGAATAAAGCTGAGTGAATTGCTACATCAAGATGTGAAAACATACTTCATCTATAAAGTCCTGCAGGAAATAACCATGAAAGAATAAGTCTTTCTGTTCATAAACACAGCTTAGGTACAGGTGTGTATCTAAATCTTGAGAGGTGCGGTACCACTACAAATTCCGAGAAATGTTCTTTGATCACATTACAAACAAGTCTGGCTAAGACATAAATAGAATATATCTTGCAATATAAGGAATATAAGGTGAGAGAAGCATAATTTATAAAACAACCACTCTGCTTGCAGATCCTGAAATTCACATGGCTGGCAGACACAAATAATTTCACAAATGAAAATGGAAGATGCAAAATCCCTGAAGATTGTGTTGAAGGATTGATTCATTTGTCTTTCTCTAGGTTTATGAGGATCTCTATGATCATCAGATATATATATAAAGACATATTATATGTATGATATATATAGATATATTGCTATGTGTATGAAAATGTATGAAAAGCTGTAAAAGAAGAATTTGAGTTACATGCAAGAGGTGTTTCAAAGTAGGTTACAGGAGGATATTTTTGTATAGTACTTAAAACAACTGGAAGAAGTAATGAGAGTTAATTCAGTCCTGGATCTGATAGCGATCAGGAAAAAAGAGATACTAGATCCAGAATTAAGACCTTATGACTGTACAAATCTTCTGGTTTCCTAGAAAGACCAGAAAAAACATATCGTGAAAATCACTGATGGGAAGGTAATGGGTTTGAAGAGTAATAGCAGACAGCTGGTTCAGCAGTAACATTACGATAGACTGTGAGAAAGATTCAGCTGTAAATAAATGTTTAGTGAAGTATAAAGTAGGTGAAAAGAAAACAGAATTGGAAGTGGGAACTTTAAACTTGCCATCATGCAAAGATAAGCTGAAGGAGAGCTTGGACCATATGATGCTGTCTAAGGGAGCCTAATTATTGACTTAGTATCATTTGGGTAATATATTCTGAAAACGTGTCAGGCTTTTAAAGAAACACTAGAAAGCAGATTTTTCTCAAGTTTCTCGAGTGTTTAATTTTTTCTTTGTTTCCAGTAGAATACTACTGAATAAAAGGAAATCTAAGACCACTGTCTACAAATCAGAACATTTATTTGAAAAGATAGTTGAAGAGGCAGCTAACAGGAATGGTAATGGAAAGTATAGAAAAGTACCTGAAGAT